CAAGTCAAGTCAACAGAGCCTTACTTGGCTGGCGTCGTGCTTTCGACACTCGCCCATTCAGCCGTTGGCGCGGCCACGCCAGCTGCAAGCTCTGGCTGCCGCCGACGCGTGTGCTGAAGATGAAATGGTGGGGATTGGGGGCTGGGCAATCACATCCTCCCAAGTGGTGTGGTTCGCCGAGACCTGGAACATGCAAGACATAAGAGCCGTGTGGCCTTGCCTTGTCAAGCCAGCACAGCGGTATATCGCATGCTTTGAAACACTTGCACAGTTAGCACTGCTGCAAGCAACCCACAGCCACATTGGTGGTGGGCACTACTCGTTTAGCATGCCGTCCGGCACGGACAATTCCGCCACGGAAGCAAGCCTTAACAAATTGTTCACGACCTCATGGCCGTTGCAACTTTTTGTGCAGTTAACAGCCTTCTGGGCTCACGCTCACAACGTGCTGCTGCAGCCAGCGCACGTTCCAGGAAGGTGCAATGATTGGGCAGACGATCTCAGCAGAGGTCGGTTGGCCCGATTCGGCCATCGCCCTGAAAGTCGCTTGCGCTTCAGCCCTGCAAGCCTGGCGATGTCGGGCCGAGGCATTCAACTGTGTCCGATGCATGCGCCCTGGCGTCCGGAGCATTTGGCAGCAGCTTCCATCGTCGCTGAGCCAGCCTAGCCTGCATCCGACTTGGCCTTCCGAGCCCTTTTCTGCCGTTGCCTTGTCAGCCAGAACAACTGGCAATGTCAGCCAGCCGCTTACACAAGCCGCTCTGACCAGAAAAAAGTGCAGTCACCGCATGCCGAGCTGTTCACAACACAGCGTGCATGGTGACCCTAGCATCTGCCCTGCCAGGTACAACCCCACTCTGAAGGGCGGGTGATGAGGCCTTCGGCCCAGCTGGTTCGCTTTTACCGGGGTTGCCTGAAACACTGAAGGGGGGGTCAATGTGCCTCCTGCTCCAGGCGCACTAGTGCCCTGGAAGCAGTGCAACTTTCAGCAATCCCGGTGAAAAGAACTGCGGCCGCTTCGGACGAGCTTTGTTCTTTTGAGGTTTCATGTTTGGGTTCAAGCTAGGAGCAGTGCGACATGCCTTAACGCTTAGGGTTTCTTTTCCCTTGTGTTTAGGGCATGTGGTGAATCGAACTATGCGTTGGCCGTTTTGCTCCTAGCCTTGACCCAAACCTGCGGTTTCATTTCGAAACCCACCCACCCACCCTGCATTGCCCTATGCCAGGCTTTGCCAGGATAGACGGCAGTTTCTCTGCACTTTCGTGGGTCGCCTCCGGGCACCGTGGTCTCCGGACTAGGTCTCCGGACCAACATCGGTCTCCGGACCTCGAGTCTCCGGACTGTCGGTCTCCGGACCTTGGGGCGTGGGCACGCGTGCCGCGCCCCCCCAAGCACTGCATTTACCCGCAAGGACACGCATTGTCTTGCCTTTTCACATTTCGGGGGGTCAATGTGCCTCCTGCTCCAGGCGCACTAGTGCCCTGGAAGCAGTGCAACTTTCAGCAATCCCGGTGAAAAGAACTGCGGCCGCTTCGGACGAACTTTGTTCTTTTGAGGTTTCATGTTTGGGTTCAAGCTAGGAGCAGTGCGACATGCCTTAACTAAACATTTGTTGGGTCCATCATGTTGCCTAGTTGGTTTACGTTTTAGAAGGAAACTCGTGCTTGACCATAGTATTTGATCACTGCGTCCTTCTGATGGGAATGTAGTCCGTGTTTCGCTTGGCGGTGGAATCGCCATTTGGATATTAGCGACTGTTGGATTTATCATTGGTCTGCAAACATCCCACTTAGGCGGGAACCACTGGCAGTACTGATTTTAAACTTAAGCCCGGGCAATTTGGTGTCGGAGTTGGTGCTTTGCAGCATGCAGTGCTTGCAGTGCTGAGCAAGCACCAAACATTATGCCAGTCATCCCTAATTAGGTGAGACAACATGATGTTGTGTTTAAAGTCTCGTCTCTTTGTCATGTGTGGCATTCACTACCTCATCGCTCTCTCCATCGCCTTGGAGGGAGGGGGATCCTGTCGTCATCATGTGCATCATCACAAAATTATTTCAGGTGACAGACGCGGTGTGATCACGAAAGCGATCGCAACTAGTAGTCTCCCAAATGCAGTTCCAATTCCACTTGAACAGTAGGAAGTGAAGTGAGCTTCTGAATGGAAATCAAAGAGAAAATGATTTTACTGAAATATTCTGAAGATCCTCATTCCTTAGATCAACGAGTCAAAGAAGCGCCAAGACCCCCTTGGAAGTGCAACAAATTGACATCGAAGCAGCTGCAGCACCAGCAAATGCACTGCAGTTAATGTATTCAGCTGTTTTGTCGCGTTTGTTTCTTGTGGATTCTGTATAGTTCCTTGTTCTTTGAATCCCCGCAAGCTACGGAGTCCAGAACTGATTCAAACGTCATTGCTAAAAGTACCAGCACAATCCAGACGAGAAAATCACAAATAGAAAGCACATGTACAAAACAGATCATTAGATGACGACTATACGCTCACGTCATCATTGGATGCTGATATTGCTCATTAGACACGGCACTGGGAAGGTAAGGTTGAAACAACACTCTAACTTAATATTCAACCAAGCTGAACTGCGACGTGGGATGCCTATTGTGCCATCCGTGCAAGGTGCATGAATGAAGCGCAACTTGAGCAATAGTTGAAACAGCGTGAGCATGATGCTTACATTATAGTAACCAGCCTTCACTTAGAATGTGTTGTAAACCTGTTTGACGATACACAAGTACCAATGTATTGCTTTTCGGAATCACATATTGTTGTAAAACACAATCTATGTCATCGTTGTTGTTTTCCCTTCCGAGCACGTATTCTAAGTGTTGGCCTTTTACTCCACACATATTGTATCCCAGCGAACGGATATAATATTTTGGGCTTCGGTCACGTTTTTTGTGAAGTTGGTCCATCATCAGCGCTTCCCAGAAGCCCGGCCTGTTGTTTCTTTCAGTACCATGCAGATCCTGATGCGAGAGAGCATTTCGGGTGAATCAGCAACATAATCATGTCACGTAGCAAACTATGTGTGATATGCGGGAAAGGCCATCCGGCAGTTTGAGAAGGGACCCGCAGCTTTCAAATGATGAGGTGAAGAGGGCTGCAAAGGCAGTTCGAAGGGTTGGCACCCCATTTTGTTCAGCCATCGTTGTACAACTTCTTTCTGTTGTACACCCAGCCATATTGCAGGGGGTTGGGGCAGTTGTCTCACACGAAGGATGTTGAACGAGTTTGGAAGCAAGAGCTTGACCTGATAGATTTCCCGAAAATAGTGTATCAAACCAAACAGAAGAAATTATTGGGGAACTGTGTCCCTCGAAAAAACAAGGGGATCCTTCAATGAGGAAAGTTCCAAGGGCAGTGCTTTGGATGAAGGTCTTTACTACAGGAACGGGCAATCGGGCTTTGCTTATTGGATACTTTTCGGGTGGCTTGCAAGGGCATTTTGGCTGGCTCCCCATTCAATTCAGCCATCCTTCTGCACATATGCACATTTTATGGGCAGCTGTCTGAAAACAAGGATGGTTGAACAGAATGGGAATATAGTAGCCGAAGCACTGGACTGGGCGATCCAGATGCACAACACATTCCGAACACGTTCCCACTCAGTTTTTTGTTCAAAACCATCTCAAGCCGAAGAGATAGAATAAAATATGGAGAACGTCCTATCATTTGCTGCCCTGAGGACGCGATTACGCACAGGCACAGGCAGGAGGAGGTCAATGGGCTTTTGTTACTATGTATACCTATATATATATATAGGCTCGTAAAATGCGCCAAAAGACGGGATCCCTCTGTAGCACTTGAAACATTGCATGAAGACACCATGGGATCCGGTTGATGCGGAAAGGGGGTTCTCGAGAGCAGGGATATGGCATCCCTTGTTGGATGAAGGGCTCCATCACATGAACATATTACGGGGCAAACTGGCATGTTCATGGTGCATACTTTTGAGGTATCTTAGATGAATCAGCAACATGGCGATCATCGCATGATGTCTGCAATACTTGTACGGGAGTTCGGTAGCATATTTAAGCCCATTGTTTTGGGAGGTATTCTATCTCATTGTAATACACGCAGCTAACAAACAATACCGGCGGCCAAATCACGTGGCTTCCATTAGGGAAGTAACATGAGACCACACAAGTAAGGTGAGGCAGAATGAGTTAAGCATGAGATCGCAAAGCAAGGATGAAACGATGCGAGACCAATGCATATTGGCAGGGAAGTCCATGGATCAAGTGGATGCAAAAACGACACATACCAGTCGTATCATAGGCTAAGGTCATCCGTCGAGAAAATGCCACAGACAGAACATGACAGGACAGATCAGGATTTTGTATGCGTGTAGATATAACATGTTATACAGTTGGTTTTCAAATTGTCTGCCAACAGATTGCAGCTGCCATTTTACTGGAACCAACACATCAACCCCAAACATAGGTTGAGGCATTGGTGGAAGGAGAGTCAAACAAAAACGACACAAGCCAGCACTCATCATCAAACAACTAGTGTAGAGTATTAGGTCCCTGGCTGGCAAGCATTTCATGATGATAACAGTCCCCCATGTACTTCTTTCAAAGAACAATGTCAATCCGGAAGGGCATGGGCTTTTCGAGAGGTTCAGGCTGAGCGCCGAACATATTGAACTCGCTACGCGGTCCGCCGACACCAGTTTTCGTTTGGTGACACCAATTTTCGTTCGGTGACACATGTTATGTATTTTAATCGTGAAAACTGGGCACCCGAAAGACCACACATTGACGTAATCGGTTCGGGCTGGAGGCCAAACATGTTTTTCTAGAGGCTCGGAGTGCATTTTGCTCCCTGGTTTTGCCGGGCTCAAATGAACTCGTGCCGTTGGGTCCACTAACAGCTCCGAATGCCTTTTGAACATGGTCTACAAAAAGAAACATAAGTCTTTGCATAGGGATGGAAGTCGCCGCCTGATGATTTGGGGAAAAGTAGCTGCCTGCTCAGGAGTTTGAAAGCAGATCTGACTTGTCAGAGCTTGCGGAGTGTTCAGCTCATGTGCTGGTGGGCAAGACGGGGAAGTTCACAGTCAGAAGTGGTGCGCTCGACGCAAACCCAGAGGATGAGGACTTCCCACTCAAGATGTACACTCAGGACAAACAAGGGGCAGTGAATCTTCAAGCCATACCTGGTTGTCATAGATGTGTTACTTTTGGAGTTGTTTTTTCACGTTGTTTGTTTTTTCTGTGTTTTTTAAGGATGTGTTTTGTCTTCTGTCCTGGGGGCTTGGCTTCTGGGGCTTTTAGTGGCCTTTGGTGGCTTTAACCCTAAACTCGCCCTAGGCCAAGCCCAAACCTACCCTAAACCAATCCTAAACAACCCTACGGGCAACCATCAATCCCAACCTGAACTAAACCTGCCCTACACCTAGCCTAAACCTACCCTACACCTACCCTAAACCAACCAACGCCCATCCCTTAACCAGCCTTCAGCCAACCCTAGACCCAGTCTAAAAGCAACCATAATCAACACCCTAAACCAACCTTAAACCCAGCGAAAACCAACCCAGAACCAACCCTACTCCAACCTAAAACCAACCCTGAAACCACTCTAAAACAACCATGAACCAACCCAAAACCAGCCTGAAACCCAACCCTAAACCAATCCTAAACCCACCCTGCACCCACCCTAAACCTTCCCGAAACTTACCCTAAACTTACCCTAAACCCACCCCAAACCAGCCCCAAAAGTAACCGTACTCAACACCCTAAGCCAACCTCAAAGCCATTGTAAGGAACCCTAAACCAGCCCTAAACCCACCCCAAAGGCAACCGCAAACTGACCCCAAACCAACCTCTAACCCAACCCTAAGCCAATCCTAACCCAACCCTCCTTAAACCAACTCAAAACCAACCCTGTAACCCACCAAACAAATCCCAAACAACGCCTCAGCAATCCCTAACCATCAATGCTAGGGCCACCCTACAAACCAACCCAGCCTCAACCAAGCCTAAATCAGTCCTAAATCAGTCCTGAAGCAACCCACCCACACTGAACCCACCAAACCAACCCCACTCGCCCAACATGATCATTTCCAGAGCCTGGGCTGCCAGAAAACAACAACAAATCCTTTAAAAGACAAAAACAGAAAGACAAAACAACAACCACAATTAAATGTCGACCCTCTACTTTTTGCCACCTGTTGTGGGAGAGTAAAGGGACCCCTTCACTCACGAGGGTTTCTACATTATCAGGGGGGCCCTTTATTTTCCCATGACAGGTGGAAAAGGTAAACCCTATTTGTTAAAGGCCCAGCTGTTTCAGCTGAAAATAACACCCTGCCAAAGCGCAGGATTCATACTATGAATACCTGACAGGCACAGCGGTGGTGCACTGGGATGGCTCAGAGAGTGAATTGAACCGGCAAGAGCGGCACTACGAGCGCGGTGATGGTGGCAAGCTCCAGCTTGTGCAGTTGCATCCGACCTTGGCGACTAACAACAATTCCGAAGCCAACAATTCCGATGCTAAGGCAGTTGCTGATTTCTGGCGGAAGATCTACGATCGAATCGAGCACTGCGAACGTCATGCTTTTGTCTACCAGCGTGAGGTTGAGGCGGACTTAGACTTCACCAGAATGGCAGCCATTGTGCTAAACAACGCGTTGATTGACACAATTGACTCATTTTTCGGCAAAACAATTGCCCCCAAGGCAGATGAGATGACCTTTATGAAGCCGCCCCCGCCCGGCAGTGAACCAATGCGAGAAGGGTAGGGCGCCACCTATTGGGGCAAGCGACCAGGAGGGAGACCTGGATGTGGCCATTCATCATATTTCGAGCTATTTGCTCCCCCGGTGACCCGGTGAAGTAGGGCTTTTAGGAATCTGAGCGTTTAAGAGACGCGCGGTGGTTCGAAATCCACTACACCAAGTTGGTGACCATCCAGTGCCGCGGGACACAAATCGACGCCGCCTTGCCAAGATGACGCCAAGGCCGTCTCAAAGTGCTTGCTTCATGCCATCCCGTCCCCATTTCATGTGCATGATCTGGACCCGAATGGACCCAGTGGGGAGATACCAAGTAAATGACTTTGGAGCGCGGTCCCATGCTGGGAAGCCGCTCCAGGGGAGCGGGTGACTTCGCCCGGAGGCGGAGCAGCATGAGGCGTGCACCCTTCTGGATTTGAGGGATACAGGAAATGTCTGGACATGATCCAGAGCGTGGATGAGCGCGTCTGCCACAGGACAGAAAATGTGTTTTTTTACTGCAATCCCAGGTGGAAGCCTCTTCTGCAGAGCTAGCGCAGCTCATGCTTTCTTTGCCTAACATGTGGATCGTCTGATACTGCAAGACTTCCATTTGCAGCAGTGGTGTGCCAAAAGTAGCCCCCCCTAAAATGGCTGGTTTCCTTTTGATTTCCTTCTAACACCGTCCCAAAAAGGGCTCCTATTTTTCTCACATACCGTAATGTAAAGGGCTTCCAAAAGGGTCCCTCATTTGGAACTGCCAATTCTTGTCTATGCCCACGGCCCTCACGGGGGCCAAGCAGTCACCAGGAGCCGACTTCCAGAAAGAGAAGGACCGATGGGGCCTCAAGGCCTCAAGGACCTGGAGGTTGACACGCGCACAGGCCTAGCCCTTGAGGCAATCGATTTGTGAAGCTTTCCCAGGGAGTTATTCCAGTGCCGAGTGGTGCAGTTCCATTGAAAAACAGGATGACCGTCCTTTGTCAAGGGCTTTTCACATCGCGCCATGATGGCCATGTATGTAGGAAAGTGTGGCTATGTGGGCACGCCACTACACTGGGACATTAGGCAGTTTCAGCTTGGTTTTAGCTGCCATCAGTAGGGTTACAAGCGTACTAGACCCAATTGCAACCCCATTCACGACTGGAAATGGACCTACTGGTAGTGACCACACCGATGGCAAAAGTGAGGTCAGCCATGAACAGGTTCGTGTCATGGGAACCCTTACTTCAGATTGGTGAATGATGATACTTCACCCAGATTCAAGAGAGAGCTTCCGCCATAATGACAGGAGGGGATCCGGATCCGTTCCACCACTTGTAGCCCGTAGCTTGCGAGTGGTCTAATGTTTGGTGTTTAAAGGCCAGCCGAGGGCACATCGCTGCACTGTTTTGAAATGCTGGTTGCCTAAATACTGATGTGTTGCTGCAAGAAGAACAAGGAATTTGCAGTGCTCGGGCTACTGTTCTTTCTTTGTACCTTTGGGAACATACGTGGTGATTCCCATGGCATCGGCACGACCTGGACCAATCGTCCAAGCGTCAAACATCTCACGCCATGCCCAATTTGTTTCACATCCACTGTCCACTGAATACGTCATTTTGCCTGCCCTCTTGCACCTGAAAAGTACGTTGGTTTCCGGAGAGATTGGTCATCCAGAAACCAACACACATCTCGGAGGGGAGATGCAGCTTTCCAAGGGCCCACCCTGTTTGAATTAAGCAAGAAAGTTGCCATTTGCAAGTATCAATCACTAAGAAAAACGGCTTGGGTACAGATGTGTTGAGAATTGTTGAGATGTTTCCCTATGACTTGTCTGGAGCTGGATTCTTCGACCAGGTTTCCCATGAACTGAACAGATTGTCTTGGGCAGGAATCAGGGGCCAAAGCCCGGTGAAAGAGCCAAACCGCCAAGGGAAACAAACGCCACGCCTTGTGAAAACGAGGCTTTCGGGTGGTTTCATGTGTTCTGTCACGTCCTCCCAAAGTCAGGATGCGGACAGGCAAAAAGCCGGGTGAATTGCAAGATGATTGCAGCCACAGCCACTGCCTTATGCCGCAGCGTCTTGAAACTTTGTAGTTTATCTTATGCGATCGAAGAACGATCCGGCGGGACATATTAATATTGCTCATACTTATAGATTTAGCAATGATGATTATGGAGGTTGGACACAAGCTGTCACAAAGCTTCTGTCCGCCAGTCCAACAATCTCCAAGTTCTGTCAGGCTGCCAGAACGACTCATCCTACTCAGAGATGTTTGGCGATGCGAATTCTGTGTTGTAAAATCAACCATTTTCTCCTTGAGATCAACGCAGAAGCCTTTGCGAATATGCCCGAGCAAGTTGTTCAGTACAGCGAGCCCTCTGGCTTTCGCATGACCAGAAAGTGGGCACAATATGCAAGGGACCGCAAGAGAAAGAAGGTATCGTCGAATTCCTTTGAGGATCTTTGCCTTTCTCTCTTCGCCTTGCCAGGCCTGCACAGTAACTTGCCAAAAGCACAGAGCCATGAAAGAAAGGATGAGCCTGAGCCTGTGCATCCTGCTCCAGAGATGCCAGGCGGGAGCACCAAGACACTATCCAATCTTGAAGGGCCCGTGTTATCAACGACTTCCCCAGCAGCCCGGCATCTCCATCCACAGTCCCATGCGATGGCCGAGCGATACGAGCAACTGTGCGGCATTGGCATCCACAAATGGCGACCTTTGGCACCAAAGACTGAGACAGTGTCCTACTTCACGCACGACACCTACCGGTCAAGGTTCAAGAGTATCGCAGAGCAGGGCACCTTGAAAGCAGCACGGGCCGATGACAAGCACTTCGACAAGGACCTGACTGATCCCTCGGCGCCCAAGGGAGTCTTCGTTCAACCCTCGCACAAAGGCTTGCACGGCTCTGCCTATCCGCGGCTAAGGTCTGGTCAACAACACCCCGAACCCAAGAGGCGGCTTCTGTTTCCAGCTCAGGGCTTGAAGCTGCACGAAGGCTACAAGATGTTCCTGGTCTCAATTGAAGAACCGCATCTACGAAACAGCTTGGGCTTCCTTAAAAGAAACGCTCTGCAGCTTCATGTTATGTTCATCAGAGAGGGTCATGCGGACGTGCCATTTTGTTACACACACTTTGAGCTCCTGGATCCCTTCAGGTTCTCAGCATTGCGCTACAGTCGCACACAAGGGTGCTGGAACATGTTGACTCACACTGCGGGCACACGCCGCTTGATTGTGAACGTGTTTATTGCCGAAGACCTGCCCTGGAGTTCGGATAACACGGTCTCATTTTCCTTCCAGCTACAGCAAGGCCCAGCGCGTTCGTGCGCGCTCATTGCGCCATGGAAAGGCATTGGCCATGCATACTGCCCTTGTGTGCTTGGCCAGGAATGCAAGGGTTGGTTTCACGACCGGCGTGTCTCCGAGTGGATGGATGATGACAAGCAGCTTATGCAGCACTGGCAGATAGATGTGGACCCATAGCAAGACGCTTGTGGCCAAGTGGCTACGGCGCCTAATTCGGGAGATATTAATGCATATTTTGACCATCTGATAGCAGATAGAAACATATATAGAACTGGCAAGAGTTTGCCTTGCACAACGATGTATAGACATGTATAGAACTCGTACAAAATTAGATTAGGGATTTTACAAAACTCTCCGAGTTTTGAATGGACATGGTGGACGACACCATGTTTAGGCCTGGCTGTGGGTTGGCTGCCCACAGTGCGACAGCCCTGCTCCAGCAAGATGCCTTTGAAGCTAGCAATGTGGGTTCCCTTTTCCTGGTGACCCTACCAGCCCCATATCAAGACATCAGATTTGAGGATTCAACTTCATGATGTCTTTTTTTTACAGTTGTGTTTATTGGGGTCATGTTGCAAGCCTTTTGCAGGTCAAATGTGGACAACCTTCACCTTTGAAGCTTCAAAGTTGTCTGGGCGGCGTTTCAGTGCCACGTGCTCGTCACAAGGTCTTGGGCTGAACCTGGCACTGTTGCGCGTGCAGGGGCCTGCGCGGCCGCCACAGGGCCATGCTTGACCCTGCTGGCTCAGAGGTGTTTTGCTTGGCAAGGGCTTGCGATCTTTGTCCCCTTTGGCTATTTGGATCCTCAAAGACCTCACACAAATGGGATATTAATCTCACGTACCATTTTTACGGGGTTTTTCAGGGTCCAGGTATGTGTATATATCACATTGTTTGTTGGGATCCTCTACAAACATCCTTGTCTCTTGTTGGGGTGATTCTTAATAGAGGGCTAACATCGCAAACCCTGTTGGGGCCATTTCCGGCGGGGCCTCGTGCAGCGTGTTCCCCGGTTGGTCTCGAAGATCGCGGCTTTTTGCTATTGGCGCGCGAGAAAATCACAGGGGTCGGATGTGCTGAGCGCACAGACCAAAGGTGTGTGAATGATGTGTATAGCTTGACGTTGGCTCAGCGTACCCGGCAATGGCTGGCAAGATAGCTCGCAACTTGTGCAGGTGTACAGAGGTTCCGGCTGAGCGGTGAAAGGGCAAGCGCTGTGCTGAGTCTTGGTCTCTCTTGAGCTTGTTTTAACACGTGTGAAAGCCCTTTCGACTTGCAGCGCTTCGTTTGCAGGTCAGGGCTTTTGACGTCCTTCTTGCAGGCAAGAAGCTGTTTTCTGACAGGCAGTCTGCAGAGTGCTTTTGGTGACTGCTGTTGAGCGGTCGGCTCTGCAGTTGCGGGCTATCAAGCTGTTTTATGCGCACATCGCCTTGGCATCTTCAGGTTGGTTCAAGGCTAAAAAGCCCCACAGCCCTACGACTTATCGCAGACGCATCGACATGCCCAAGCCGTTCCACGGAAGCTCCTTCGAGTCTCAGATCTTCCAGATGAGGAAGTCCGAGAACAAGTGCTACAACTGCGGGGGAGTTGGACACTGCTCGAGCAACTGCCCACTGAAGGATGTGGTGCGGGAGGAGCGGCGGGAGCGCGTGCCGAAATTGCGGCAGCTCATTTTGCCACGGACAGTGCCAGCAGCGGCGGTGAGCGGGGTGAACCTGCTGAGATGCCAAACCATTTTGTATTTCCACAGCTGCTAGAGCCTGCGCAAATTCACTCGCGGTGGTTGCAATGCGAGTGGGAATGTGAAAGGCTTCTGGTGTCGAGCCAGAGTCGTTCTGTGCAGGTGAGCCACAATTGATACCTGGGTGATTGGAGGTTAGTAAGGGACGTTCCCAACTAGAAATGGGGGCAGCTCATCGTAATTCCTCATGTGGTTCTGGGTATACGGTTTTGATACCAGGTTTTGATTATGACTCAGGTGTGGAAGGCAGATGCAACCGATGGAGCCACCTTCCGTGGGACTGTACAGTTTTGCCCTGGCTGCAGTGGCTCTTGAGTTGGGAGTTTTCAAACCCCTGAAAAGGGAGGGAGTTTGATGGAGACGTGGTTCGATGTATGCTGCTGACTGATGGCAGCCTGTGCCGTGGCGACAGCTAGCGGCTTCTCGTGTTTTGCTGTGGTGCCGAGCCACGGCTTCTAGTCGGAAAAGGTCTCTCAGCGATTTCCGGAGCTCCAGGGTTTCCAGAGATGCATTGGCTTGTCCCAGAGGCCTGAGTCTCTCCTGCTTATTTCGTTTCCCACTGGGACATGCACCTCATGCAACAGGTCATGCGCAAATCCATCCTGCGGAATTGCGTGGTGCCCAGATCAGATCTTGCCAAAACGAAGTGGGTCAGAAGATGTGATGCTTTCAGACTTGCATGTTTTTGCCACTGAGATCGGCTTGCGGGCTGCGAATTCTAACTTAGGTTTACGCTCACAGCAGTTGCGCACCACATTCAGGCATTTAGGATTCTGGTAGCAGAATGGAGCAGGAGTTCTTGTGACTCGCTAGCGATATGAAGCGCATTTGAACAGTTTTGCCTTTGGTGAGTTGCATGGTGGGGTGAACTGAGGCAGTGTGATTTGATGTCGGTCTGTTGAGGTGCGATGTGCTTTTGTAGTGATGGAAGGAGATGTGATGTCGTACTTGGCAAGCGACTTGGTGCGCGCCACGTAACCAACCAGACTGTGACCGGCACGCGAGTGGGGCTACGTTGCTTCTGTCCACCAACTTGTTTACCAGCGCTTCGGCAAGAGCACCGTGCAACAGCGCAAGCATCCACCTGTGAGCAAGTCCACCAAGCGCACATGGATGAGTATGGAGAGAAGATGAGATCAGGACTTGAACAAATCCAAGCCGTCAAGGCCGTGTTGGAAAAGGGAGCCCTGCGCTGGAGAAGATTTCAGCTTTAGCCCACTGTACCTGATGCTGCAGTGCCCATGAGCTAGACTTCAAGTCCACTAACACCGCCGCAGTCCAAACACAAGGTCGCATGCAAAGCCGGCGATCCGAATGGAGTCCGTGTCATCTTCGTGCAGAGGTCCGATCCTTTGTCCTTTGTGAATTGACTCCCAAACTGCCTTCCATGGAGAAGTGTAGAGGGAACGCAAAAGAGGCGCTCCATAAGGAGTGCGACTGAACGTGCTGTAGCTTCGAGGAAGGCTCGCCGCAGCCTTCGCCAGGCGCAAGGGGATTCCAGCCATGGACAACGCCGTTTGGCTTTGGAGCACCAGCGGCAAGTTCAGGCCCTATGACGAGGCCACAAGCGCTTGCATTGAGGAGGCCTACCAGAAGGGCTTGGCGAACATTCGAGTTCGACTGTGGAGGGGCGCTGAGCAGGCAGACTACTCCATCGACTTTCGCAAGATGCGCCAGGCCAGCTAGTCAGCGGGGCTGAGCGGCTGAGCCTTCAGGGTTGTTCCTTGTACAGTGACTCAGCTTCCATCATTGGCTCGCAGCTTGCCACGAAGGTGAACCTCCGGGATCCACAGAAGTGGCGCCACGTGAAGCGCTCGGCCAAGACGCGAGAGGCGCGCTTGTGTTTGTTCAGAACATTCTAGCTAGGGCAGCAAGACGAAGCCGCGCAAGGGCACTCCAGCAGACATCCTACAAGTCTTGCTAAATGATCCTTTCAATTGTATCACGCACATGTTGTTTATTTTTCTCAAACGGCATTGTCTCCAAGACCACACTCCGAAAGCGACGTGCCAACAGCGAAGGTCCCGCAAGGAGCGCCTGCCATGCCTGCGTCAGAGGCAAAGGACACTCCTATGGCGCTTGAGGCGGGATGGGAACTTCATTGGACCATGTAACGGTTTCTGCGCTTGAGTGCAGGTTCGGTGGAAGGGCACAAGAAAGAGCTTCCATTTGACCAGCCAAGCTGCTGCTGAGAGCATCATCCAAAGCGGGAGACCAGGGGTCAGGGAGCTTTTGCATTGTTGCATCGAATCCAGTGTTCAAGCTTCAAGCTTCGCAAGCGCAGATCACTGACGCTCTCGCGCCTGCAGGAAGTTCCATCACTCGAAGAGGGGGATGTGTGGTTCTCAATGCTGTGCGTTTGGGAGAGCTCATTGAGTCTTGATAGCTGAATAACATGTTGCCTTCTAAGGATGGGGCCTTTCATCTACTTCGCAGGAAGCCCTGAGGACTGTGACGGCAAGGCGAATGGAGCCAGGTTGGTGGATGGTGCAGTGCTGCAAGCGACGGTGGACCTCGGCCAAAGCTTGGTCATCCGCCAAGACATGTCCAGTGCAGCTCAGAGCAGCTTGGGCATCAGCAGATGGAGCGAGCTTGACAGGGCAAAGCTGCAGCAG